ACAATAAAGGCTGTTGCTTTAAGTTAATCCTTCAGTCTCTGAGTCCTGTGTTTGAGTCCTACATTCTGCCTGCCACAGCACACAACATGACAGACACATGTCTATAAGTTTAACTCCATTTTAATGTGTTACATTATGTTAATTTTACATTTTTCATTAAAATTTGGAATCACATTGTCTTACATGTCTTAGTTTAATTGAAGATCCTTAAAACTGCATACTGTGCATTTAAATACTAAGCTAAATCCAAAAGGTTTCTTGATAGATTAGCATAAAGAATTACAGGTGGGCCACCTGCTTCATGTCAAGATTTTTAAAAAAAACCAACCCAATAACGCAACCCAAAAATAATGAAAGGTAAAAACCCTTAAGGGGGGGAACTTAAAAAAAAAAGGAAAAAAAAGGATATGTCCTGTCAGCTAAACAAATTGGCAGTAGCAGTAGCTTTGAAAGTGTTGCTTTCAGATTTCTTTTGCTGTTATACGTGCACTACTGTACCTAGTATAAAAAAAAGTAGATGTTTTTTTAATGCATTTGTTCTGAACAGACATTTTAGTATTGTTAATTAGCTACATCCTTATTCAGATAGTCATCTGCTGAGCTAATTTTTTACATCTCTCAAACATTAGGAGATAGGATAAATTTTAACCTCTGAGTGTAACACATGCTCACATGCAGCGAGCTTCTCTAATTTCTTAAAAGTCATTTTACAGAATGAAAAAGCCAGAAATAGAAATCAGACAGAGTGAAATTGACTGACAAAAGTTATAGGAAAAAAAATCCTTATGCATACACAATTTGGCATAGACACAGAATCACACCGAGTGTTGTTTATATATGTATTTTTTTAAATGTTTATTTACAGAAGAGAAGTCCTCACAGTTGCTGTGAGTTTCGACATTTTCACATATGGTAACACAGCGGAAATATTTCTACAAACCACAAGTAATACCTATTCTGTGACTGATTCCTTTGAAATAGCAATGCATCTATCACATGGCCAGCATCACCATGACTAACACTGAGTAATCCATCTCTTGTTTTACACACTAAGAAAATTGCACTTCTAGAAATGTAAAGATGACAGACCAGATTTGCTCGTGGCCAAAGATGAAATGCTAATCTATTAAGTGCTCCTACAATTTGCTTCTACATTAGCATATGCGATTAATGACATTTTGCTCGGCACGCAATGATTACAAAGGTGTCTGAGTAGCTGCAGAGCATCGCTGGTGGCACATGACTATAGTCTGTGCATACATAATAAAAGAGGCAGAACTGGGTGGGTAAACACAAAACTAGAGATAATGTACCACAAAAAAAGTACAACATTGTGACATCACTGGACAAAGCAGCTCACCACAAAGCACCAGAACATACAAAGAAAAGCTAGAGATAGAAATGCACTGAGTGATTTGTACAAAACAACGTATCATCTGTGCATAAGATTTTCCTTGATTTAATTCCCAAAAAGACAAAATGAGGCTTTGTTTGACAACACATGACACGTATCTGAATTGAATATGCAGGCATGATCCTTTTATGCAAAGATGGGAGACCTGAGTTGAGAAGAGACTTTTATTTCTATAGAAATCTATCTGCACTGAGAGGTATAACCTGCCTCAGGAGGGGTTCTCTTTAGCCCTTCTCCCTAGGAAAAAAAATACTTTAGTTTACAGTTTAGCAGATTTAGACATTTTTTTAAGTCTGTTAAATACACATTGAAAACTAAATATATGATTTTAAACTTTTAGAAAATCTTGGTAATTACTCATATTGCCAAATAATAAACAACATTTGAATGGTTTCCTTTAATCCCTCCTCTCATGTGTTGAACTCCTCAGTGCAGGACTAGACAATCCAAGTCACTATAATGAGTAAAAACTCACACTGAGGTAAAATGAAACACAAGTCCCATCCTCTGTGAAAACACTTGGCTAACAAAACAACAGTATTCTTACCTTTAATGTTCTACTTGTTTACAAAATGTGCAGTATCAAGAGACTGATCAGAATCAAATGAACTTACCAACATGAGGTATAGTATTTTAATTAACCCTTACAAAAAGAAGACAAAATCAACATAATTATCAAAGTAATTATCTTCTCTACAAAATGAGAGAATGAGTCAATTTTTCTTTAGAAATGTGATTGTTCTAGCCAACAAAAAGGTGTACAAAGAAACCAAGGTTTTATACATATACTCAAAAGAGTGGCTAATAGTGTTAACAGAGCTCCTATTAGGAGAGTATACATCATTTATGCTGCAGGCAGGGTTATGCTAATCGCCATTTCATATCCTCTGTCACCTCCACACACCATAATAATTCACTACTGCATCAAGACTTAATACATAAGTGAAACAACCTGATAGAAGTGAAATATCAGTTGGGGGGAGAGCATTAAACTATGTCTACCTAAGATTTTACATTAGATTTTGGCAACTGCAACATCATGAAATTAAATTCCTTCATGGTGGATGTGATGGTGTCTTTACTTGATTAACTCCCAAGCACAAACTAACTAATTTTCAATTGTTTTAAATTGTCCATGACAAAAAATGGTGCATTGGTATAGAGAATATACCATCTCTATGGCTACACTTTATGTGCAGTGACAATAGAGTCTGAAAGAACAGCACCTACATTCAGTGCAGTGTTTTGAAAATGAAAATGATAGTTGTGAGCTTCATTAAATCTTTGCTCATAAGATTTTTTTTTTGTCATTGTACATTTTCACTGTGATTTTCTAACATTGCCTTGATTCAGTGATTTCCATCCAAACACAAAGCTTATCCAAACAGAAGTTGCACATTATGAGTGAATTAGTACTTCTTTTCTGAGCATGGCTCATCATGGCTGACTTGGACTGAGAGAGGTATGTTGAAGATATCAAACTGGAATGCTTTTGAGAATGTTTCTGCCAGTACTCAGGACATACATGCCTTTTAAGGATACCTACTTAGAGTAGGCGCTAAGTAGAGATCAGTAACAGTGAATTTCGCGTGTAAAATAAAATTTAAAAAAAGTTGGTGCTTTGCTTTAACTTTTATAAAAGGCAAAATCTTAAAGCACGAGTCAGAAAGCTGTGGCTGCATTGTTCACTAAACCTTTAAATTGTATATCATAGCAGGTATGCTACTTTACTAGCAAAAGGAAACCTGCTTGGAAATCACTGTTTGGAAAATGGTCACATGTAAAACATGCTTACCAGTTTAGACTTGTGTGCACAATAGTGCAGCAGCAATTTTTTACCATGTGAGCATTTGGTTGATTTGCCTTCTATGGACCACTTAAGTGGGTTAGACAAACCTTAAACTGAGTGCCAGACCTTTTTAATGTGGCATTTTGAAGATGTGTAATAATAATTTCTGTAACTGGCAGTGAATCATCCAGATGCAACAAATTTCACTTTCTTTCTTAATGAATTTCCAATCAGTGTTTCACACAGGGTTTCCACACATTCATTTCTGTCTGTAAATGACTGCTATTGTATGTGAAAAATAAATAAATAAATGGCAGTCATACTTTGATGTTGGGTAGATAAAGGTCAAGGCAAAAAAAAAATTTGAGAAATTTTGGCAAGGAAAGCATTTTTAGCAGGAACACTGAACACACTGAGCTTTGTTCATTAATGTCAACAAACAACAATTTACATTTCTGCTGCTGAAGTATTTGAGCTCCTTTATCACTGCTAGAAAAACAACCTGAGAGAAGATGAGACATCATAAACAGGGCTTGACTCAATGCTAATATTATATTTTGAGATAGATGACATTATTATTACTGCTCACAAGCTCTGCGGACCTGCTATTGTTTTAGAGTTGAATCTACAGAAAAAAAAAGAAAAAAAAGAAAAGAAAAGTCCCCCCAGAACAGTATTATCATTTTAAAAACTCTCTTTTTGAAGTGAAGCACCTGATAAAGCCTTTTGAAAATGTAAGTTGTAAAAGGTATGCAAAGACTTGAGCCATCTGTAGCTATGAATTACTTTGTCTGATGAGTAATGAGTGTCGCACGTCCTTGTCATCATGCACTAAGTATCCAGGCCAGAACTCTTATTATACATTAGTGACCTGAAGCAGGCAAGAAAAAAAAACCCAATTTGATAGACTGCTTCAAGTATTTTCACAATTTTACCTTATATTTAGGGCAACTTGAATTCAAAAAAGTCATATTCCAACATTTTGTTTATCATTAGAACCCAATAAAAACCCTAACATTGGATTGAATGACCGGATTACAGAAACTGGTAGAACGTTCCTGTATTTGGTTCTACTTTGACTGGAAGTATAGTTCTGAAACCACATGCCACTGGGTGGATGAGTTTCAGATGCATCACATCAAAGCCATAGGGTTATGTATTTTTTTTTTCAGTAGAGCAATGTTGCAGGAAAGGGTAACTTTACACTGACAGACACAATCTATTAGAAATCTGAGAGGAAGCTGCAACGCACTAAAGAGACATAATTTCCAGTTTGACATAACACATACAGTCACTGCAGGACGATTATTCCTTCAAATATTAAATGCTGTAAAATCAGACAAGTTAAGAATAAGATCTCAAAAGGTGCTAGTTACATAAAACTACTTAAATCACACTGGAAACCGTCCTGAAAAGAAATGAGGTAGTGCTGTTGATAAGAAGTAGGGATGCACCAGTCTCTACCCTCCTTGAACCGATGCTGAATCACTGCTTGTAATATGAACGTTTTAATTTTGAAAATGACTGATTGAATATAAAAGGAACAATTTCAAAGATAAAAAAAAACCATTAAAAAATGGATCCCATATAGTGCTGAACAAATTTATTAGATGACCTGTCATAAAAACAAGAAAACAGAAATATTTTAGAAGTCTGTTAAATACACATTGAAAACTAAATATAGAATTTTTGTATTTTTATACCCAAATGTCGACCAGCTCACTGAACATCTCTGAGAAATCAGAAATTTATAAAGCATATTGTAACATCCAACCACTAAAACTATTTTTTTGTGTTCATGAAGGCTAGATAACTGTAATTTGGCTTTACTATTCTTCAGCTTTTTTTTTTTGTATAATAGTAAATTTGAAAATTCATTGCTAACAACAATATTTATAATTTAACATAAGAAATATGATTTCAATTAGAGATTGTACATACTGACCGTTACAGAAAAAAAAGATTTGGGTAGGTATCAGTACTGTTAGTCAGGTTCAGCAATGGCATAAACCACACTTTTCGCTGACTAATAAATTTGTTAAGCACTGTGTATTTTTTCCTTCCTTTCTAGCTGATCTTGTTGATGTCTGTCAAAATCAATGCAAAGAGTTGTGGACATTTCGAGTCAGGCAGAATCAAGTCAAATACACTATATACTTTGAATTGTGGCAAGTATTTCATATTAAAAATACATTTACAGAGGGGAAAAAAGTATCTTGACACAATGGCACAGTATCTTGACAATAGTAGGGACAATGGTGCATCCCCATTTAGGAGCTAAAGAAAGGAGAGTGGACTACAGATGTACAGTTGTAACACCTCCTCTAGTACTCCCATCAACACAAACCAATACCAAAATAAACATCTAAATACTATAATTCCATAAATGACATATAAAAACCAAAAGAAAACATGTTTTACTTTTCAATTGTCCCTGGATTACAAAATCACACCACAGGGATATATGGCATTTTGGAAAAGAATACTTCACGTTCCACATCTGTATACTTCATATGTTTCCAATTGACATTTTTTGTACTTGGACTCAATGTAATATTTAGAAATATACAGAGGTTATAAATGCACCTAGAATAATTAGGCACCTGAGACCCCCACATTCCAGTCATGAAATGTATCTAAATGTGTGTTTACACATGACTGTTTGAATTTTACATGCAATATCGAGGAATTAGCGAGGTTTTTAGCTTTCTGTGTGTTTGTATGTGTGTGTATGTGTGTGTGTGTGTGGCTGTGGACCCTGAGACAGCAGGTGGCTGGAGAGAGGCACAGGTGTTCTGCACTTGCAGAGTGTGAAGATACTCTTTAAGGCTTATTCCTAAGTGCCACACTAAAGTAGCATCCACACTACCAAACCCAGGGAGACCCTGTGCTTCCAATCCATTCATCAGTGATGATAACCTGTCCAAGCACTCACTCACGGAAAATTCCTGGCCTTTTCTCATTCCTGAGTGGAACAGAGCCATTTACGACACAGTGAGAAATACCTTCTCCAATTCATGTCCGTCTGCTTGGTTAAATCTTTTTCCTTCCTATGGATAGGAAAGACCCAGAGGAAACTGTGGTTGCAATGATAGAGAATGCATACCCATATACAGTACTCTACCACTAAAAATATACCGTATATGTTTACTCTATATACACAAGTATGAAACAATGGATTCAAAGTACCTATAAAACTTTGCAAGGAAGAGAAAGAAAGCTAATAATGAGGTGCATAAAAATAATCCTTGGGTTTTTTTTTCCTGGGTACATAAAAGAAAATCCATATGGGGTTGATGCCCTGCATGCAGAGGCTATGGGCACAGATAACTGTGTGCTGCTGAGGTAGAGTGGACAAGTCCGGTGCTGACAAAGGGGGAAGGGGACAGGCCAGGAGAGATGGCTTTCCCTGCTGCAGATGGACAGTGTCTAGAGTCCCCATTTTCCAGACGCTCTGACCTCAGCACAATCTTAGGAGAATGGAAACCATTGGTTAGACCCATTTCCTGATGTGGTGCTGTGTCTGCAGTCAGCTGGTGTCCTGTATCTTCAATTTCCCCATTGTAAGTAGCCACCAGCTTTACTGAGGGAAGATTTGAGGAGCTTTGGGATAGTGACAGTTTTTCTAGATGTTCCTCTTCTTCTTGCGAACTCGGCTGGCTCAAAGAGGAATACTTTTCCTCTGACAATGAGGGTCCCAAGGTGGTGTTAGAATCTGTGTTTTGATAGCCCTCCTCTTCTTTCTCCCTCCCTGTGTCCAAAAGCTCAGAATGAACAATGACTTCTGCCTCAACCTGGTTACTGCACATGGATGTACTCAAATTATCTTCTTCCTGCAATGAAACAGTGTCACTGTTACATGAGATTTTCTTTTTATTAGTTTATCACCCCGAACAAATGAATTCTCTGACAGTTCTTCATTTGTTCATTTACCCACAATGCCTGTGCTAATGTAGGATGTTACTTTTCTTAGCATACCCAGCCAACTAGCTTCATCAGCTAAAAACAAAGTACTTAACTAACTACATTTAATAAACAAATTATTAATGTTGGAATTAACTAGCGCTGAGATTAAATGCAAAAAATATGCTTTTTTCCCCTCTTTTTTTATAGCTCAAAGAGGTGAATATGCTGCCCTGGTGATGTGCAACTTGGGACATAGTCTTTGAAAACAATATTTTACTTTATAAAAACAATATTATCTACTGTTTAAAGCCATCCAATGCACATTAAAGTCCTCATTTAGAGACTGGATGCATTAAAAAGTCAATTGTCGCAGCTAAATTTAGCTTAATTAGCCTGATGTTTATGATAGCATCTGCCAGTGAAAATAATGATTTCAGGTGGTAAAATCAATCGCCAGTTACAAATTTTGTTAACCTCATTCTGAAATGTATTATTCGTTGATTTAAAAGTTTAATAGGGTGTAAGCATGAAAGATCTAGCAACATGTGATGTGCGGCTGGGTTTACTAAACTGTAAATTAGAAATACAGTTGGAGAAAGTCTTTGAGAGAACAGTTGTTGCCTTATATACAATGTAAGTCATATTTTGTTCAATAAATTACCATGCCATTATCAGTGATTAGCATGTTGAGAGCTCCATTCACGAGTGTTGGAGAATCTTCTATTAGGGTGTCTTTGTATCTTGTGATTCTGTTGGCCCAGTTATGGCTTACAGAGCCGTTCCAGGCAGCCTATAAAATGAACAACATAGTTGAAACACCAGAATCAGTATTTTCCCTCAACAAAATGTGAGAGTTATAAAGAAAAAAAATGAAAAAAGGGGAAAGTTTCTATATATACAACACATAGAGAGAAAATATCCAATGCCCATCTAAAAATAAACTTTCCCCTTGAAGATGTAGACCTTGGGTTCAGGTGCAAGGGCATCACCTTCCCCATTCAATGGATTATCACTTGCCATCAGACTCTGCTCTTCTGGGGCCTCTGCTGGCAGTTGACCAGACTCTTGGCTACCTGCCGGCATCAATGTCTCCAACTCATAGCTGTTGCTGCACTCTGGTATGTTGGAGGGAATGGGGCAGCCTCCTCTCTTATACTGAGGTATCACAGCTGTAGAGTCCAGAACCCCAGATAGCTCCCTATTTAGAGCAAACATTAACACACAGATACATTCTATTTTACGTGTCCTTTTGTTCATAAGCAGTAAAACAAGTAAGCCACTGTATGAGTGCTAAAACTCTAGAGTAATCATACCTGGATTTGCTGTTACGAAAGCTGAAACACATGCAAAGGAGGATGCATATCAGTCCTAGGCACACACCCACTATAATGCCTGTCACTGCATGGATGTCCAGCTCTGTTAAAAATTGAGATAACATGGAAATAGAAAAAAAATCTATTAGTATAAACAACAGGGCTTTTTTGCTCTTCCAGATATACTGACTATAACTTTTGATATTTGATCTGCTACCTGAGATTCATGAATTGTACAAAAATACTATTATTTGTAAAACTTGTGCAGGTCTGTTATATAAGGCCTGCTAAAATGCACTGATTTCTTCAGGTAAGTCAAGCTTATAGCAGCAAAGCGATGGGCAACATTTAAGAGCAGACCTTCATTAAAATGAATTTATGCTGCGTGTTTTTAGCAGTTTAGATTAGAAGAGGAGAGGAAACAGATGGCAGGAGTTCTCTTTCCCAGCCGACTAGCTACCTGAGTCCCACTTCCACTGCTATTTGCAAACACTATTAAAGCCCATATGAACAAAAAAAAAAAAACTGTTACTCTACCTTTCTTTATTAGGACAATTGCCTGAAAAGAAAAAACAAAACAAAAAAGCATTTTGCTGCTTCTAGCACTGATAAAAATATTCCAGATAGCATGTCCTCAGCATAACTCCTAACTCGTGCTTTAATCCTTAATAGTTCTTGGGGAAGTTAATGGCTCTGTGTTTAAAGAAAAGCAGGGCATTTAATAATTACGAAAGCTAAAACGCTGACTGATGGAATTAAAAAGTATGTAGTGAGACTGCAAGCCTAATCACAAATTGACATGAGAGTAAAGAAAGTACAAATTCTGTTATGTACACAAAGCAGTAATTGAAAATTAACCCTGGGGTCACTGATGAAGCCACCCTTTGATATCTGACATTTTAATATATTTAAGATGCAGACTAGGAGAAGAGAAATAACAAGCTTATGGAAAGCTAGTCTTTCTCTGCCAGCTGAGACAAATTACTTACTTTAATTAGAAGGACTATGTGCATATACAGGAAGTGTGAGACTATCATTAAGAGTGTATGTGTGCTTGTAACACAGCGAGAAAGATTAGAAAACAAAAAACAGAGGAAACCGGTAACTTCTGCTTTCCCACAGGACTATATAAAACGACATTAAATCTTTTACAGTACCATGAAAATAATGCATTTTCATGGTTTGCAAAACTGCAGTTTTATATAACCCATATAACCTCTGCTTGACACATACCTTGATGGCTTGTGTGAACTTCCTTTATAGGTGAGTAAGGCCCTGGCCCCACCTCAGTAGATGCCCCCACCTTAAAAAAATATCTAGTGCCACTGGCCAATCCCTGGACCTCTACACTGGTAATACTTCCTGTGAGAGAGAAAACAAATCTTAAAATAGGCAAAATAATGTGTTCTCTCATAGAGAGAGCAAATATTACTGTAAATATAAAGATAAAATATACATTTAATGCTGTTTATGTGTCGTGAAAAGAAACACCCACCATCCTGGGAGACATTCTTCCATAAATGCTCTGGCTCACTGAGGTTGCCACTGTACAAAATCCAGTAGCTGATGATGATACCATTAGGCTCCAGTGGAGGGTGCCAGCTCACCAGCACCGACGAGGAGTCCAGCGTAGTCAGCTGCAGCTCCTCGGGAGGTGTGGAAGGCCCTGGAGGGGAAGGGAGGGTCAGGTCAGTAATTAGAGCCCAGAAATGAGGCCTCACAGCTGGAGAATGTATATTGTCATTGTGGGGGATTTGATATTTGTGTGACAACCATCTGTGTCCTCATGTCCCTACCACCTGGGTACAGGAGAGAGGGACGTGCAGGGCAATAGGAGAAAGGACAAGGGGCCCAGGTGATCACACACAGTAGTGGAGAGCATGATGGGGTTACTGGTGTCAATGTTATTATTAAAAGTGGCCCACTCAGCATTTATCACTCACATCTGGGAGAGAAGTTGTTGGCCAGAGTGAGAGCTACTACTACACTTGGGTGTTTTATTAAAGCTGTCAGTCATTATCACCGCCTGCTTATTTCTATGTTTGCAAACCACTAGCCAGCCAACATGCTGATTTTTACATGAATGAGCACACACTCACTTGCATCCACAAGCGCACACCTTCATACCCATAAGCTGCACCATCTGAGGATGAACTGCATACAATTACCTTGCTAGCTGGAGAAGAACATTGACACAATTTAATAAAACTGGCATAATAATCATAAGTTAATCCAACAAAAAGCTCAACTTTTATAAAGGGGTGTGTTGTTACAGTCATATGAAAAAAGTGCACTATTTTTAAGTTCTGTGTTTTCGTTTATCAGGACACAGAAAAAAAACCATCTGGTCCTTAGCAGGTTCTAAAATTATTTAAACATGACCTGAAAGATGAACGACAACACGTAACATAATACACCAAGGCAATATCATCATTATGCTATAATGATCGGAGCATATATGCATGCATGTTTGTATGTTCCCCATCTCCTCCAAGATAGGTGGATCAGTCTTGATGAAACTTTGCATAAGCCTTCCCTAGGACATGTTATATACAAATATTTTAAACAAATCCTGCAATCGTACGTATTTGTACATTTGAAGGCTCAATTAAACACTAAATGAAATGTCATAATATATAATAGTATGGCACAATATAACATATCGGCATCAAACAATAATGATCGTAGGGTATGTATGTTTGTTTGTATAGGTTTGCTAGCAGAAGCAGTGTGTGAGGTGCACCCTTGCTGCTAATCAAACACACTTGATTAGCAGCACCTGGTTGCTACTGATGATCAGTCAGCAAGTGTAAGTATAAAAGCAGGGGTTTTAGTAGTTTCCTACTAAGATAGTGCCTTTTGGAATATGTTTAAATCAAAAGGTTAAATCTTGCACATTTTCATTATGTTATTTTCTTTAGATGCAATTTTTAAATTATTATTATTTAGAGGTAATTCTGAATATTTCTTGACTTTTGCTGCTGTAGCAAACAGTAAATAATGTCCAAAAAGGGTAAAAGAAAAATATGAACAGATTTCTGTTTATGCACAGCAAATAATGCACACCATTATATCTATAGAACACCAAACCGAGCATATCTTTACAAAACCTTTGTCAAATGTTAGGCCGTCTGCCAGCTAAAACTTGGCTGCAAAGGGACATCACAGGTCAATCTGCAAATCTACAACAGGATTGCAAAAACATAAGGTGCAGCAAGTTTCTGTTAAAGTCATGACCTCAATCAGATTGAAATGCTGTGGCAAGACCTTAAGCCGTGCATAAATATATTCTCACAAACCTTAAAGAACTGAAGCAACAGTGTAAAGAAGAGTGGGCCAAAATTCCTCCGCAACAATGTGAGAGACTGATTAGTTTAAACAGTAAATAATTACTTCAAGTTACTTGAATTTATTGTTGCTAAAGGTGGTTTTAAACATTACTGAACCATGGAGTGTACTTAGTTTATCATACACTGCTTCTGCATTTTGGCTGACATCATGTAGTATGTCATGTGTTGTTCATCTGAGGTTGTGTTTAAATCATTTTAAAGGGCTAGATTCTTGTTTTAAATTCTGCTCTCATGTGTAAAACCTTAGAAATGAATGAGAGTGAACTTCGTCTGCCACCTGTTAAAGGGTAGGAAGGAGATTTTATAACTCTATTTTGAGATGAATTTATTACGGAGGGCTTAAAATATACACAATTCCTTTTTTTATTTGCCCACTTAAAAGAAAGAAAGAAATATTGTAGTTTCCTTGTCATGTACTCTCTATTTCTGCAGGAAACAGGGTCCTACACATCGATATGCATTTAAAAGCACATTTTCTCTTTTGGCTCAGAGTAGTTCTTCATGAGATGTTAAGGTTAAGTGACTTACTCAAGTGGACCGCAAACAATATGAAAGAAAGGATTTTTCATTTCTCTGCTTCACATACATGAAAGAAGACCTGATGGCTGGAGGATTCACTTGAAGTGCATATTTAATATGAGTTCTTGAACCAAATATGTGTCAAGAACCATCTACAGTAGATTTAGTGCTTGTTTTTTTTTCATCAACAGCATACAGAAAACCAACTCTGAAATATCCAGGTTGAAGCTGAAAACTTACGGTCAGTGAGAGTGGACTCTTCCACAGTGCCGCTAAAGGGTCCTACCACATTTGCTCCATTAGACTGCACTGCCAGCTCATAGCGAGTGAAGGGTTTCAGTGCCCCAAGCAAAATCTCTTGTGCAGAGCTGGAATATACAAAGATGAGAGTCCTGAATGGGTAGTAGTATAGGTTATGTCAAAATCACATGGAAAAACACACATGTGCTGTCTTAAATGACAGTGGTCTTCTGCTACAACAGCAGAAGACCACACCAGGTGTCACTCCTGCCTAAGAAGAGGAAACTGAGGATATAATTTGCACAGTCTCACCAAAATTGGACAATAGAAGATTGGACATCTATTGTCTGGTGTGATGAGTTTTTATTTCTGCTGCAACAGAAGATGGTAGGGTCAAAATCTGAAGTAAACAAAAAGATAGTTTGACAATGTCGATAGTTCAGCCTGGCGGAGGCATAATGGCTTCAATCTCATAGTCTACCCGAGTATTGTTGCAGATACTGTTTGTCAATTATTGACCTCAGTGTGCTCATCTTTCGATGGCTACTTCCAGCAGGATAACGTGCCATGCCACAAAGCTCAAATCATTCTGGTCCTGAACATAAGCTCGCTGTACTCAAATGGCCTTCATAGTTACCAACAGACAACCTTTGATATGTGATAGAATGAGAGAGTCTCATCTCACATGTGCACCTGACAAATCTGCAGCAACGATGTGCTGCTATCATGTCAATATAGACGAAAACTTGTAGAAATACGTCTAAGAACTTTTAGAATTAAATGTCATATTATTTTTAATATGACATTTAATTATATACTCTGAAGACTGATAATGAAAATACACTGTCTGCTAGTGAATAGAAAACAGTTTCTTTTAAGAAATGAATCCAAGCTGCTCTTAGAGAAGAAAGCAAGCAAACAGGTGTTTTTAAAGCGGTTTTCAAGGGGAGAGGGTTAATCAGTTCAAATACCAAGAGTGTACAAAAAAACACAGGAATCTGTAATTCTTAGGGCCAATTTCATTCTAACAATATTACATCTCTTGAGGTTATATGTTATTTCTAAAGATGTTTATCTGAGTATTAGAGTTCTTATTAAAGTCCTTTTTATAGTTACTAAGACCACTTTTAAATAGGCTTAGTCAAAGTGACTTTATCAGGATTTGCGCCATTCAGGTGCAATATCGCTTACATATTGCAAACATCATTGAATTTCACATGTGTAGCCTGGTATTCTGACCTGGTGTAATAGGAAACCATGGATGCGTTGGTGGTTCCTGCTGGGCTGCAGCGCACTGTGTAGTCGATGATGTGTACATTGTTGAACCGCGGTTTCTCCCATCGCAGCCAGATGGAAGTAGAGCTGTTGGCTGTGGCTTGGATATTGCTCGGGGGCAATGGAGGTGGTGGCCCAGGCGTTGTTGGTGCTTTAACATGGAAGTGAGCTTTACTTTCTTTGATTCTTGGAAAGTGTAATTTTTGTTTTCTTTTTCATCACACCATAGAGGTGATGAAGGTCAAGACATAAATGTGTTGCATTCATTCATTTATTTGTGCATGTACAGATTCAAAAAGAAGGCTTACGTGCATGAGGCTTTTCTGTCTTTCCCTTCCACACTGCAGCTGCTCCATCTGTCTGTTTATTGAATGCCCATAGCCTCACCTCAAACTGTCGGTCAGGGCCTGATACCAATATACAGGAACAGAAGGAGACACAATGATGTTCCTATTATGCACAACTAGAGATCTCTAAGGATGGTGCATGCTAACAACAATGGGCATTTGTGGTGGTACCTGTAGCCAAATGCTCTAACGTGAATGATATTTTTCAAAGAAATGTTGAATTTGTTTTTTGTTTTTTACTTTTCATTTTACTTTTCTGCCAAGGACAGGGGTAAATAAAAAACCCAGCAGTCATCTGCCTTGAATCAAACATTCCAAAAACGTACCCAGCCCAGTGAGGAGATGATATCTAGCCTTCTTACGGAGCCTGATGGTGTGTGTCTGAGTTGTCCTTTCCCCATTGGCCGTCTCTTCAGCCTCGACTTCTCGACAGGACAGCTTGTAACCAGAGACCAACGTGTGATTGGGTGAGGGCTGCCATGTGACATTAAGTGTGTTCACACTGGCTCTAACTTTCAGCTCATTAGGAGCAAAGATCACTTGAAAAAACAAAAAATGAAAAAAAAGGAATTAATTCCAGATACATGTATTAATTAAATGAACCATCAGACTTTCATGACAGCTATAATTTCATAAGATGCTTATAGTGCTGCTACCTGATATCCCATGAGTACAGTAGGCAGTTCATCTATTCTGTGTTTTATAGTATAGTGTGAAGTTATGTGAGTTCCAAAACCAGGAGAAAGGAGAGTGAAGGGTGTGCCCATGCATGGATCTAATTACTTAGAGTTGTTAATGTTGTGAGACATGTTACAGAGGGATTTTTCAGTCCAATATTATTTTTCAGGCATCTAATATTATCTATCTGGGACTGTTGTTGATGGCTTATTGGTGCGGCTCTCCAACACAGTCCCAGTTTCTTATTTAGCTCCATTGGAAAATTAATTTCCCATCATTGATCTAGATTATTTAGGTGTGATTTACTTGATTTCGGAGCTATTGTCTGTATTGAGATGTCTGTCCTCTCTCTATTATGATGGAATTAAATGGCTCAGCTTGAAAAATTCAGCAGCCTCAGCTCTTTCATGAAATGATGACCAAACTAAAAAAAAAAACTAAAAAACCCCAAAAAACATCCTTGTTGTGAGCAATTTTGTGCAAGAATTGTTTTGTGGTGAACTAAACCTGCCAATGATGTCAGAATGTGCAGAATTAAGCTTGCATCTATCTGTGATGAGAGGCTTGTGACAGTATGACAGGATATAAATATTTAATGGCATCGTCCTTTGCAAAGCTTCAGTGTTAGCTAACACAGTGGTAGGTGAGCTAGCACACTAGATATAACTTATATTGTATTTGAAGATGGTGTTAAAAGCAGTTAATATGACGATATCCTGACAGTTTGCCCTGAAAATCAACCCATCATTTTGTACTGATAGTGAGCCAGTTCAAATTGCACCAGAACAATCTGGATAAAGAGTTCTACTGGTAAGAGAAGAAATTCAAGATGAACTGTGCCTTGAAGAAGAAAGATGCAGTTTATTGCCTTACTTTAGGGAAGTTTGTTTCAGCTTATTTTAATCATGTAGAAAATATTTAACATTTCACTTTAAACTATGTTTGTTAAGCAAACTATTATCTAATGTCGTTCTTACCCATGCTGTCATCGCTATCAATGGGAGGTGTCTTGTGCTGAACCCACTCGGAAGGAACCCCAAAGCCAATGGCAGTTCCAGCAGCTATTCTCAGTAGGTAAGTCTGGCTGGGTTGCAGCCCTCTCAATGTAAAATGTGTCTCATTCCCCCCCACCTCCACGGAAAACACAGAGTCCGCTGTGGGAACACATACCAATGATGTGAGCCATGAATAGAGCACGACTATTATAGGATTTTTAAGACTGATAAAGATATTTGATGATTAAAAAATATTCTTCTATGAGCAGACTGTTAGACATATAAAATGTAAAAGTTCCCTTTATGTTCTATGGGATGTGGGCTCTATTTTTCATAAATATGATTAACATTACTCCTATTAAGTTGTTTTAATAATTATTTGAACTATTCTGCATTTAATAACTTACACACTAAAATAATTTACATTAATAACATGCTTTGTTTATTCTTACAAAGAATAAGAGGTGCGTCAAAGGTTTTCGCATTTTGTTTTGGCAACTTACACTGTCATTCAAGAACTGAGTAAATGCAACTGAAAGAAACTTTAATGTATAAATCAGTGGAAAATGAAAAGTATTGAGAAACAAAAAGGCATTATATTAAAAGTCATTAAAGTGGCAAACAAGAAAGCAACAGAAATGTAAGAACATTAACCAAAGTGCTATTGGGGAACAGGTGCGACGAGTCAGCTGCTAGTATTTCTTGTTTTCTCTGTGCAGCTTATGTTAGGACACTTACGCTGATCTAAAATGCTGTACTCAATGCGGTAGTGGGTAACAACTCCACGACTCTGCTCTGAGGACAACGGATGCCACTTCACCTTGACGTCTGTGCGGGAAGTGCTAGCTATATACAGCTGAGGAGGGGCACTTGGCACTTCAAGAAGGAAAAAAAGAATAAAGTGAGATTTCTGACACATATAAGAAACCTATGCTATAGATGTGCATGGTTACTGGACAGAAGAAAAACACAAGTTGTCCAATTCATATTTTGTCAAACTTTAAGCATCACAAGATTTTTTTTTAATGTTTAAATGTGTACTGCATTTATGTGGCAATGGTATGGACATTTGAATTGCACTTTGAATAACAGTTGAAAGGAAAATGCTCAATTGAGTTTACATACTACGTCTTTTTCAGTGATACCACTAATAGTAATGACTCATCAGCGCTTAAATGTCCTGAGTAGTTGCAAGGTTGACAAGCCTATAATATATCTTCTTTGAGTGACTGAAGCAACTCAGGCTGTTCTTACTTTACCTTTGCAGCTCTATTTTATCTGTATATCTGTGTGATTACTCACCATCCTCCAGCATCTCTACAGTGATAGGCAGAGACGGGCTGCTAGCACCCATGGGAGAGTAAGCCACCACAAATAATGTGTAGGTAGTATGGGGCAGAAGCTCTCTGAAGAGATATTCAGTGGTGTCATTGTTCATTGCAAATTCATATTCCCCGTTATCAGAGCCTGAAAGATGAAAACGTTCAAATCAAATGTAAGCATGCTTGTCTTGTGGCCTCACATACACAGATTTGTGACACAGAGACAGACCTGCAGTGCTGTGGCAGTGCACCGAGTAGCCAATGATTTGATCTGAGTTGTACTCAGGTTTCTCCCAGCTGAGCAGGGCAGTTGTGCTGGAGTATGGTGTAGCAGAAAGGTGGCGAGGAGGGCTGGGCAGACCTTCCCTCACAATGACCGTCAGCCTGGCAGTCGCACAGGCTGTGCCAAGCCAGTTCTCTGCTATGCACTGGTAGTAGCCTGCATCTTCCAGAGCCAGCTGGTTAATTAGCAGGACTCCGGGGCTTTGGGTCTTTACTCGTCTGAATGACTTTATAGGCTGGCCATTCTTCAACCAGTGCAACACTGGAGGAGGTTCTCCAGAGCTGTTACACAAAAACCTGGCTGTGTTTCCCCGGGAGAGGGACACTGTCTCTGGGCCCTGAAGAATCACTGGGGGGGCTGGAGAATTAGAAGAAAAAGTCTGAGGTCATTCCATGTCAGTTCATGAAGTGGCTACCATCTGAACACCTCAGCTTTGCCTGAAAAAATTGAAAGATACACTTCGTAACCCTTTTAATCCCACCGGCGACAATTGTTGCTGTTTTAACCCCCCTATTACAATTGCACATATTGTGTGTAGTGCATGTAAAGTGCATGTAAAATCCATGCACTTATTTTGCAAGGAAAATTTTGGGATTAAGTGGGATTTATTAATAGGAACTATGGAACATTTCAGGTCCCTACTGTCAAGTATTTCAACAGATGTAGGTAGGCTTGTAGGCATTTTTATAGCCTTGTTTCCTTAAGAGGCTTTCTCTAAAAATGCTCATTTGGATTTGGTACATGTTGTCATACTTGAGGAAAAGCATACTTTAATGAAAATTCATAGAGCCAGAGTACCAGATCTTCACCATGAAAAAACTGGAGGGACCTAGCGCTTGTACTTTTTTCATGATAATGAGATTTTAATGTGGACCCTTAGAAAAAGAAGAGAAAACATCTAATAAAACATTTTTGAGAAAACTAATAACAGTAGGTGCATGGAATTTGCAAGAAGTGCATCTTTCAGTTTTATTATAGACATGTTTTTTAAAGTAACATGAAGCTATCACAACTCTAAGTTTTAGCCTACACCTCCCAATACGCAATGCAGAAGTCTTTTTGCCTCCTTTACTTGCATTGTGAATGACATGTCTTACAAAACAATATACTGCTAATCCTACTACTACTACAACTACTATTAGTAATAATAATAATAATAATATTAATATTAACTACTTAATTATTGTCAAAAAATGAGAAGAAGCATGAACCAGAGAGTGAAGAACTTCCTGTACCAAAAATCAAACCAAATGTCAGTTTATAGATATTCACCAGCAAGTGAGAAGGCCAGACACATTTATGTTAAATGTTTCAAGCCAAAGTTAAAATTGCTAAGTAAAACACATTTTCAATTTAAAATCAAAATGAGCTTTGCTAGTTTTGGTTTTTAATAGTCCATCTTTAACATAATATATTAATTTATCTAATTTAACAGACACCAGCTAGGCATGCCCATCTTTTTAAAAGAGCTCTTTGACATTAACATTAGCAGTTAGATGAACAATTCCATAACGGAGTGTATTATATTTATTGAAGATTTAAGAGACTGTGGTTTATGTATGATTCCTTATTTTCTTTCTCCTCCTCCTGATTAATGAACAGAGGTCTATGTGAAAGCCAGTGCTCCTTCAGAAATGCCTTAAATTGAGAACCAACCTTTTGACATTGGTGTCTCCATGAAAAAGCTTTAATCTTAATATAGAGAACATAACACAACTCCTACCGGGTACTTGCAGCTCAGCAGCAGCAATGACAAACTCTCTGGTCCTGGGCTTGTTGGCTCGGCAGACATAGACACCAGCATGGTGACGCCTTGTGTCTCTAATCACCAGGTTTGTTGCAAGGACGACCACATCAGTAGACATGGGCTTTCCGTCTGATCAAAGAAGAAAGCAAGAGAGAACAAAGGAGATCGTGCTGATGGGAGAAAAAGGACACTGGCCTTGAGAAAAATTGAGCTCATTTGGGAGGCTTTCAGTTGCCTGAGAAACAGCACAAAAGACAGAGATGTTGCTTTGAGCATGGAGGGATTTGACCTGTAATCACAAAAACTGACCAACAGGTGGCTCTGTGACTTTTCAGTCTGGGATCACTGAGCTCTCTGCATTGGCACACTCCTAGGCTCTGTGTGAAATCATTCCCTATTCACTATATAGACCCTTATTTACTTTGTCCGCCATTTTGAGAAGGATTTATGGCCACCAACTAAAAAATACGAGGTGAAAAAGAAATGGTCAGTATTTAAGCTCCAACAGCCACGTTGCAAATGATAACCAGAATGACCAATGCATATATAGTCTTCTAAGAATTGATTCTAACAATGATTCTTTGCGAATTCAAATGTTGCTGAGTCACAGGATGTGAAAGGATTTTTTCCCCATTAACATTTCATGTGTGTGTATGGGTGGGTGTGGACAAATGGTGGAGGTGTGAATGAATTGATGTGACAAATCACCCTATGTAAAGCATGACTCAATGCAGGATAAAGCAGTTGAAAAGAGACAGCTAACATCAACTTTACACCTGCAGCTACTGCAAATCTGATCCTCACTTGCTGATGTTTGTTCTTTGCGTGTGTTTGGCAGATAAACGGCGAGTGAGGCACTGATAATGACAGACAGATGCAGTAGAGTACAAAAACAATAGGCTAAGAGGCACAGAGAGAAAAGTGTAAGATAATTTGCCAGTATTACCTTGTCTGCTCCAGGACACCAGTGGTTTCGGCTGGCCTTGAGCCACACACTCCATCACGGCAGGATGTCCAAGCACAACTGAAGCATTCTGAGGTGGTGCCACAATCACAACTCTGTTCAGGGCTTCGGTCGAGCCTATGTCAGCGAAAGAAATGTAAGCTTTGGCAGTCTGGACCAGTAAATATCACATTAGACAGTGGTGAACCCATTGATCCTGATCTCGCTCTTCAGGGTTGCTGCCAAGATTTACAGCTCTGTTAGCAATTCAAATACACACTTTTTAAACCAAGTAGCTGTCACAGCAGTTTTGCATCAGTCAGATTTGCATATATACAAATAAAATCATTATCAAGTATTTAGAAAAATTGTGTTCTGTATTTCATTTAAATCCTACCCTGCCTTCAGGCTAAACTGCAGAGAGGTTTGAAGCTGTATTCAGAGAAATTCATACAGCTTGCATTGAAACGGCTTGATGCATTCTCAATCATCCAGGTAAGGAAAATCTCCAAAGGTTGATTCTGTTCATCTGGATGTTTCTCCCACTGAAAATGCTACGTCCAGATGAACAGAATCAACCTTTAGAGGCTTGCATTGAAACATTTGAGTCCTCCAGACTCATTAAAATGGTGGATGTAGATATGACCAGAAAGTGTTTGACATTAAGCATTTGTTAGGATGGACACTGGAATGTTATTATTTACATGGAGCAATGTGAACCTTCACTAACAGATTTTGGACATACACCAGAAATCAAGCCTACACAGAATGCTTGACTGAGGGGAGAACATAAGTGATGCTTCTACAAACCAATTTCTGAAAAGGTTGGGCGCAAATCTCATAAACCCGCATTTAATTCCCAAAAGCACATAAAAACATATTGAATGATAAAACAGAGGCGGTTTCTTACTTTATGAAATATATTTGAAGAGCTCATTTGCTTTGCAACAGATCGGTAATGCGATTGGGTATAAAAAGAACATCTTGGGAGAGGAAAATTCTCCCAGAACTAAAGATGGCAGACATTCAGCAATCTGCGAAAATCTTTCTATGAATTATGGAACAATTTCAGAATTATGGTTCTCAGGGTAAAATTCTTAAGACTCATGCCTTATTATTTACAGCATATAATATCATCATAAAAAGAATCTGAAGAAATATCTAGGACGAGGCAAAAAAGGAATACTGGTTGCCCATGATCTTCGGGCCCTGAGGGGGCATTCCATTAAAAACAGACATGATTCTCTTATGGCCTCACACCCACATTTTCTAAACTAGAGGAGAGTCACAATCCAGCATCTTATCAATGCTCTGTTCAGAAGCCTGCATGTCTGCTGGCATGATGGTGCATCACTGCCAAAGGAACTGGAAGTTTGCACATGTAGAAAGGCACCATCTGTGCTGAAAGGTGTGGTTTTTATAGCAACATAATCAGACAATAATAAACCACATTCCTCTCCCAGAAGTCCAGTAACTGGTCTCCTCAGTTACCAGATGTTTATGGGCTGTGGTTAAAAGAAGAGGAGATGCTACACAATGATAAAGATGACCCTCTCCCAACTTTTTTGACATGTGTTGCTCTCTTTAAATTCAAAATGGGATTGAAAAAAAAAAATATATATATACATATATATATCTATAAAAAAAAATTCTTAAATGGTACATACTCTCAGTTTAAGCATTTAATGTGTTTTCTACATTATTATGTGAATAAAATATGGCTTTATAAAATTTGTAAATCATTGCATTCTGTTCTTTTGTTTACATTTTACACAACACCCAAACTTGTTAGGAATTGGGTTTGTAAACGATAAAGAGACTTACTATCCAAAGAAAAAGGAGAACACACAGTAAATGGGTCAGGCAATAGGATGGTTAAACTCACAGACCTAAGATATACCCATCTTCACCTTAACAGACCTTTACGTTATTATTATAAGTGTATTGTCTATGGGTTGAAGAGACACAAATTGCTTCAATGTTTTTGCTCAAGATACATCTGATGTGAGTTGGCCTTTCCACTCACTCACTCACTCACTCATCAGCTGCTCATAATGGTAATGTTCAGGACAGATGCCTGCCATTCTGCAAACACATTATAAATTAATAATCAGGACTACAAGGTTATGCCTTGGTTATGCTGAAAGCTTAAGTGGGTCATATTGCTTTTGTAAGGACTGCACTGGATGGTGTACCTTCATATAGGGCCTGTGTGGGTGCGGTAAAAAAAAAGAAAATAAAGACTGTAAAGAAAATAGAGGAAACTAGAAATTGTTGGTTTAAAGCAGCTAAATGTCCTCTATCCTCTATGTGAATTAAGTATATGAAGTGATGACCTCAATATCAAGCTGTAAAAACTCCATTATGGGTGCTGAACTGTTCTATTCATAGATGTGAAAACAAATTAAGTGATGGCATTAGACCTGACATCTGTTTCATGTAATGAATTGCAATAAGGACTTAAGTAGTCCCCTCCTGCGACAGAAGGCCACAGGAGGAAAGTATCTATGCATCTATGTCATTTTAAATGTGAGCATTCATTCATTTCTACAGCAAATTTTCAAAATGATCCCTACCTACTCAGTAAGGAGAGAAAATTGATTCTGTTCATCTGGACATATCATCTTCAGTTGGTGAAATGTTTCATCACTCATCACAGTGACTTCTTGACTCACTTTTAAGCTGTCTGCAAGTTTCTGTTACCTTATTAACAGTACATTTGACCAAAACTAGCACCACTGACTACGTTTTAGTCAATGGTGCCGTGCCTGACCTTCAGTGGTGCTAGTTTCAGTCATTATGCAAATGTAATATTTTAAAGGTTGGGGAAGCCTGCAGTCAGATGAGACAGAAGAAGTCACTTGGATGAATGAAAAAATCTTTCAAGGACTAAAAACTTTACCTCCAGATGAACAGAATCAACATTATGGGGTAGCCTTCTGACAGTTTTTGCTGTGGAGCATACAAACTTCCCAACAGATTAGCAGTGATTTAAGTTTAAACTTTGTTGTAATTATTCAATAACTTCCAATATGTTTTATCAGATAGGGAGAATGAGCCTTGATCAGCGACTGACATTATGAACAAAACATAGTGCCAGACACTTGGGAGACCAAGACCAATGCCAGGAGCCAAATAGAAGTATATTATAGTCTGCAAACGATCACAGCATGAAAGCTTCTTTTTACTGTATATACTGGAAAAAATGTATTGTGAAGGTCAGGCAAGGCAAATGCATGCAATTTCATACACAACATAAGCTTAAAGTGCTTGACATTATACACAAAAGCTTAGTCTTAGACATCAGTTCAGAACAACCATTTTGCTTTGACCCACTGAAGATTAGTTACTGAAAATAATGAAGATAAAGTAAAAAAAAACAAAAAACAAGAATTATAAAACAGTCCCAAGAATAATAAAACAGCATTTATCTTCACATTTAAACATGCTTTTTGATTAGACTGTGCCAGTGCAGTAATGTTCTTTTCAACAAACATCACAGTGTTTTTTTTCCCCAGACTTCCTTGATTAGAGTTGTATAATTCAACAGAATTATACCAGACGCTGTGTTGGAGCGACAGGGTTGTTTTGAACGTCACTTGGAGTTAAGTTGAAAGAGGCATACGGAGCTACTACTGTACATGTCAGATGGATGAGCAGAGGTCAGTTTTTGGCAATGATTTAGCCAAGAACTGAGCTCTTGCCTTAAATCCAAGAATTCTTAATCTTTCAACAACACATGCGTAATATGCACTTCTAGGCAGATACTAGTTGCTTTCGAATATAGCGTTCCTGCAAGATCTTATTGACCTACTCAGTGAGTTCAAGTTAGAGTGGCAGGGTGAGGATAAATATGTAATCAGCATGATCAGCTCAGTAAACAAATCTGAAAGCAAGCTACAATTGATTTCAAGTGGGCTGCAGTGCTGTTGCCTGTGTAGCTTTAATATCAGGACAAAATACATAATATGAAGAGTCAAGTTCAGAACATTCTACCTGAATCTAAGAAGTAATTTACTGACTATGCACCCAGCCTAGTTGGTTTGAAAACAGTTATTTGCCTTTTCAGAGTGGCGCAGGTTCTGATGTTGCATTACCTGCAAAGCAGTATCACCCTTCTAACTGGGTAATTCTGCTGAGAATGAGATTCTCACACTGCAAAATAACACTCGGGTCAGCTGGTATTAATGGAAAGTTCTAGAATCTACTTCAAGAGCAAAAGTATTCCAACCTTAGAAGATGTGCCTTGAATTTGAAATCGGTTTTGATCAACACATTTGTGTAAATATGCTGTATCTTCCAAGAAGATCATCAACTCATGCAGTTTCACAATGATGGAAGAGCACCTATCCAGACTACAAGTGAGTAGTTGCCTCCACTCAGTACCGGGGATTCAAGTAAGACAGAGAAATATATTTACATTCCATTTAGAGAACTTAGAGAACAAGCATTTAAGAAAACATTAATGGTAAATGTTAAATGGCCTGTATTTGAATAGCGCTTTACTTGTCCCTAAGGACCCCAAAGCACAACCAGTCATCCACCCATTCACACACTGGTGATAGCAAGCTACATTGTAGCCACAGCCACCCTGGGGCGCACTGACCACTCCACTCAAAAAATGACCTCAATTATTTCAGAACTACAGCCATTTTATACAATTTTATGCAATTATCCATTTTCAGAGGCTCAAAATAGCTTCGTTGTAAACCGAAAAGATTTTTTTTAAAAGCTTTTCCAGTCAACGACCACCTGAAGATTACGACACATGAACATCACCAAATACTGTGTTTCTTCACTTGAGATGGTCTGCTTGGCCTTTACTGGAGCCACCTTCAGTTACTGCTTATTTGTGGGTCTTTCTGCATTAAGTCTCATATTTAATGACGGAGAAACCCCTGAGTTGCTTTGGCATTATGCTTTGGGTCATTATCCATTGTGAAGCACTGTTCTATCAGTTTGGCTTAATCTGAGCAGAGATTCAGAATTCATCCTACTTCTTCCTTCAGCAGTCACATCATTAATAAACACTAATGACCCAATTCCACTGGCAGCCATGCATCCCCATGCTATAGCATTACCTACCACATATTTGGCAGATCCTGCGGTATGCTTCGGATCATTGACTGCTCCTTTCCTTCTGCATACTTTTCCTTTCCCATCATTCTGGCACAGGTTATTTTTTTTCTGTCCAACCATAGTTTTGACTCTTTTAGATGTTTTTTTATGGCAAAGTCTAATCTGGCCATTATGTGCTTGAGTGTAATCAGTAGTTTGCACCTTGTTGTGAATCCAGTTTCATATCAACTCATTGTGAAACTGAGTTCTTGTCTGAAAGACCAGCTTTGCATTCCTCCAGATCATTGATTCGGCCTCTCTAAAGTTTTTAGAATCTTTCTGATAGGTTGATTTTGTTTGTTTTTACAATAGCGTTCCTCACTTGCACATCTCTCTGGACCTCATATTAGAATTACTGCTTCATTTCTCATGAAATAACAAAGTAACAGGCTACACCTGGCCATGAAATTGCTTGTCGGCATTAATTTTGAGCCTCTGAAAATGGAGGACTCTCTGCAATCAAATAACGATTATGACTCAAGTGAAGCTGTTCTTGTCAAACATATTATAGACTTAACTGTATCTGTGCTGCTTTCAAATTTACTGTGTGCATGTTAAACATGTTGGTAGGCAATCGGTATTGGTTAGGGCTCTCTGATTGGATTGACATATCTTGGCAGATTGGTAATTTTAAAAGTAGATCATGGTTCGAAAATAGGTTGGAAACATCGTGTAAAAAATTAATGCACAGAGCTATATGATGTGCAGTCTCTATTCACTGACATTAGTTGGTTTACTGTATATGTATAGTATCAGCTGTTCCTAGATTTAAAGTGACCACAGTCCTGAAATAATCAGAGTAAAAATATCATTTAGAAATGTATTTTCAACACCAACAGATGCACTGTACTTTCTTGTAATGCATTCCATTACAGTGTAAAGCTGCTGCCATAGAAAGTGCATCACTCGGATGTGTGACCTTCACTCTACAGATTGATGTTGGTGCAGTTTGAAACTAGAAGGCTGTTTGCTAATTCATCTGCTGAAGGTGACAAGTTTCTCTGTGATCACCTTGAGACATCAGCATGATGTACCATTATGATTTCTGAGCCTGTCATGTCAGAAGCCAATCATGTCCCAATATGCATATCCATTTCACACAAGCGTAAGCTGAAGACTTTAAATACATCAAATTGACTTTTGGGCAGAAAAAAGAAATGTAAAAAAAGAATTATAATTAATATAATAATTCAAAATGTGCTTTAAAACTCACTACTGCTATAAACTCACATGACATGAAAACTCCTCAAGTGTCATTTTGTTAGCTGTAAATATATCCAATGAATTTTAAGCCAAAACTCATAAGAATGGAAAGATAGGAGTTCTCAGTGGTACCTGCCTGTCAATCCAAACACTATAAAGGACTGCAACAGGCCTTACCTGTGGTGACAGAGAGTCTGGCTTCATGACTGATGTCCTTCCCGGCAGAATTGGATGCAACACAGCGGTAGACACCCTCATCATCCTTGGTCACCTCCAGAATCTGGAGCACCCCATTAGGAAGGGAAATGAATCTGTTGCACACAATAAAAAATAGAGACAGAGATGACAGAGAAAGAAGGATTTAGAAGGAATAGCAGAGAGAATGAAAGATAAGGTTATATAAATGGCTTAGTGCCCCATAGGATGAAGCATTCAGGTGATCAGCTTTGTAGGTTGCTGCTCCTGAGTCCCCATAAGACACCATCTTTGTTCAGGAGAAAGTACCTTTGTGTACAACCACTTTAGAGATGAGTCAGACAACACAAAATAACTGCAATTCTAGAACTTTGGGATGTAAGCTTTTCATAGTATCACAAAATACCCCAAATGAAGGCCGTTTTAATGGCTACACTGTAATATGTGTAACATGTGTTTTGCATACAGAATCTCTCTGCACTGTTAATACTTCCCATATTTTATATCATTGCCTCTCCCTCCCCTACAGAGGTCATTACTTCAGACAGGCAAACCAGACCAGTGGAACCCAGGCAATATAAAGCCATCACACCACTTCTTATAGCTGTTATCATAGGCTATTAATCTGACCATAATGTGACCAGCGGTAGTCTGTTCATGAAGGATAAAAGAGCAGGCGAGTGTAAAGGAGATAAGAAGAGGAGACAAGGGGAATAATAAGAGGTACCAGAAAACAAAGGATCCAAAAAGAAAGCGGTAATAAGAGAAAGCATAATTTATAATGAGAAAATTTGGATAGATAAATAACATTAAACACACATATTATGAAAGAGAAAAGCTAGTGATGCTTGAACCATTTTTTGGTTGATTTTAGTTTAACGACATTATTAGAGCCTGAGGTGGAAGAGCCATGTCCCACCAATAAGACCTTATGAGGAGCAAGCTGGTTGTGGGTCAAGCAAGGCTACAGCAGCCATTAACACTTTGCCTGACGTAATAAGGCTGGAGACAAATTCCAGGGTCAGGAGAAATGTCGATATTGTTAAGTGATCCATTAAATGGGAATATATGTGTGAGAAAACTGGGAGAGAGACTGTTCAAGGATGTGGCTATCATGATGTGGCTGTTCCTTTATGATTACCATACCATTCTGCATTTCCATTAAAAACTGAAGCAGCTACATTCAGGGACAAACAAAATTCACATTCTTGTTTTGAACAAAAGACTGACAAGACTGTCTTTAGTAACTAGCAGCAACATCCAAACTCAAAGAATTCAAATGGAGGGCAACATCCAAACGCTCTTGTACACAGTTATAGTGAGTAAATCAATATGAAGTCATATACAAAATGCAGATCATTGGGAATATTTAACATACAATAAAAAGCCAAAGCAGAACTCTATAGTTACCTTGTTCCCTCAGGAATCGCTACTTCATCTTTTTCCCAGGTAATAACAGGGGTTGGTATTCCTTCAATTTGGCATTCAAAGCGGGCAGCCCCTCCTGTGGGCACTTTTTGTGGAGATGGCTCCAGACGGAACTTCGACAGACCTGCAGGTACAGTAATGATATAGTTCAGAGGGTTATTGATCAAAGCGTCTGCCCACACCTGGTATTACATCTGGCCATGGTCCACAATTTCTCCAGCATATCTTCAGCATACCTAGTGCACTTATCCATGGCTGCAAAACCAGTGCAAGGGATCTACACACTCGATAGCTCACACTTGATAGCTCAAGTCGTAACTTAATACAAACAGTACTAACCTCATCATTTATTCTATTTACAGCTTTGTTCATACAACCCAGTGAATGTGAATTGTACGTGAATGTCACTTCTGCAGTCTGTATTTAAGACTTCCAGTGTTTGTATTACACCCATTGTAGGGCTTTCAGTGGTGCTGTTTTAATTTTTGTAATTTGATTAAAGACTTGTTGAGGCCGTTTAAATGCCCTTGAATGTCCTGATTAGGAGAAATTTAGGGACTTAATCAGGCTTGGCTCTGTTTGTCTGTCCAGGTCGACTCTTGGCAGGACTCCAGTTTTCAGTCTTTATACAATCACAGACACGGGAATGCTTCCCTCTGAATGTAAAGCTGAGCACCAGGGGGCAGCAGTGAGTACCGTCTGAGGGCCTCTAACCTCTGACCCCAACAGGCTGTTGGAAGAGAGAACAAAACAGGCTGGCTGTCCCAGCCTCTTAGTTTGTAGCCCTGACTGAGAAGTAGGGGAGTGGGGGTGGATCAAAGGAAAGTGCAGAGAAAGAAGTCGGGGAAGGCAACTCTAAGAGGAGAAAAGTAAGAAACAAAGAAATAAGCACAAGGCACAATAAAAATGCCCAAAACATAAAATGGCTAGAAAATCCAGTGTGTAATTACATTAACCACATAATAGGCTGTAAAAATTTACTGTAATATCATAATAATATCATATGTGTTTCTTTGAATGTTAAATAAGCAGAGGCATCTAATCAGCCAGTCTTTCTGGTTTACATAAAACACTTTCTCCTTGTGGAACTAATTGCCAAACTGGATTTGCACAGCCTCAAAACATGTAAACATCACCCAAAAGTGTCACAAACATAAATGTGTGAATGTGTGAAACAGCAGCTATTAATAAAGTTTTCTGAAATATTCTGAAGATAGACGTCCTACATTTATCCCCTCCACTGTGTATTTAAAAATAGAATTCCTGCTACTTATCACATGAAAGGCAAATGCCAGGCCATCTAATAAATATTAAGAAATTAAATTCAAACCCCAAAATTTCGACATGACAGGTCTATTGTTGTGTTCAGTAGATTCATTAAATTATCTAGGAATAACAAAGGTCTTCGTATAGACCCAAATTAAACTATTTAGTAGACTAGATGGATTTTAGCATTGTAACCTTTCCAGTATCAGTTGAGAAACGTAAGTTAACATAAGTCTGCTAACTAAATGTAGAGAAATGACCAAAATCACTAAGCTTAAACCATAGCCATAGCTGCAGCCAATCACATGGTAGGCTCAAGATTTGTAAACTCACACCATCCTGATTTTTTGTACAAGATTTTCTCCAAACCACTGTAAGCTGAGGAGGAGACACTGGACAGGCTATCCAAAATCACCCTAGGCCCTATCACTCCAACTGTTAGTCATGTCAACAAACTGTCCATCTGTGTTTTCCCACTGTGCTGAGGGAACAAAGTTTCTCAATGAGTACACACAAGCTGACAGAGATGCTTGGTCATAGTAGCAAAATGGATTTGATTCATTTCAGAAAATCTCACACTGACTGTTGCGTAGCAAGTCATGGAAGAGCCGTTGATGATTAACCTCTGCCACTTCCAGCCATTACAGCATGATTCTCTCATGTAAACACACACAACCTGTAACACTGCCAGACAGCCTGATAGGATGACACGCTCAATGAGCGTGCGTGGGTGTGTGTACATTTGTAAATTTAAGTGCCGGTGTGCCCTGCTACTTGTTCTCTAATGCCTGCACACGGACAGCTTATGATTACATTTCTGAAGCACTGTATGCAGCCATGTTCACAAGTGTATGTGTGCACAGGAGGGTTTCTGCAGAGCGGTGAACAACAGCTGATAAGCGAATGTGCATTAGCCATTCAACATTAATGCAAGGGGGGGGAGACGAGTGTTTAGAGACGACACTTTACTCATGCTGGGATCGAACAATGGCGACTTGCTGGGCTTCTACGTCCATTGTGTCAGAGTATATTCATATTAGCCTTTTTTCCCCAGAGCTCCATGAGTGTCCTGACACCTGTGATGAAATTCCAAGGCAGATCCATCCAGTTACATACAGATCACAGAATCAGATGCTGCGGAGTTAACACTGAAAGGACTTGTCCTGACACACTGGGAAATTTTTCATTGTAACGTTCCCAGCTAAAGGTGGTATACCAAATCATAGGGTCGAAATATGACCAATTGTTTCCTAGCAACAAAGTCTTTCTATATAAGGAACATTTTCAGGCAAATCCTTGGGCATTGCTCTATGTAAACTTTAACCCCTCAATGTGCGTGGTAAAAATAGAGAAAAAAAATCTCACATTTCTTTGCTCTCTCACTCTCATTTATCTCATCTCAGTACTTGGCTTTTTTTTTTGTCACTGCTGCTGGTGATTTTACCCCAACTCTGTCTTTGTCCATCCCTCTATCCCTTCCCTACCCTTTGGCCCCAGAGCTATCAGAGTGCAGTATTTTCCTCCTCCCCTTGTTAAACCAGATAATTCAACCTGTGACCTGTGTGCTTCCCAACTTTAAATCTGATTACCACAACTCAACAAGCATGCCACCCTTCCTGCTTCAACAGATATTTGCAATAGCTGCTGTAAAACATGTGCATTTCTGTCTGTTTTAACAAATAGGCAGAAATGTCCTTCAACCTCTCTGATAAATGAAGAAGTCTGTGTATTTGTACGTGTGAGTATTCTTTGTCCGTTGCAACAACTGTCCATCTGATCCACTTCAGACTTGGTGGGTGCATTGAGGGACAATAGTAAGTGCTGTGTTGTGTTTGAAGTCGTTTGGGGCTTTCCTGTTCTGCAACATCATCTATGAAATGGCCATAGATAGGTCACCTGACATGTGATCTCAGAGATGAGATGATGTCAGACTTCTCTTTGACGCCTTTGAAGTTTAGATAGCATTATTTGCTCCAAAGAAAACTCAAATGACGGTGTTATCTACTTTTGCTGATTCTAACATGCCTTTGAAAGCAGGTACTGCACTAGTAGTGACAAAAGGAAGCCCTTTACAGTATTTCTGCAATGACTTTCATTAAGTAGAAGCCTTTCAATGTAGAGTTCTTGTTGTAATGCTAAATGTCTTTGAACTAGTATTTCTTATCGAGCTTTGAAAAGCTATTCTCCACATTCTCTTTCACTGCTCATATTGGCATGGGGTGTCTGCATTAATACCGAGTCGACTTATGATAAGACACCTTTTAAAATCATGCAATTACAGGCAGGAAAAATACTAAATACGAAAAACATTCATAGACATTATCCACAACTGAAGCATGCAACAAGACATAAAATTGTGTGGGGGTTTTTTCCTTGTTAAGACATCGACTGTTTTTTTGAAATGGGTTGCAGAAGCTAGAGTTAGAAAATATTGACATTCCCCGCAGCAGTCTCATAATAAGAAAGGTTAATTGCTCAAATTAAGACAAAAAAGCAGCTTTTTTAACCATCATCATAATTTACCTGTGAATAGATTTGAAAAATGTGATTTGCACTCAGTATGCTGCCTCTGTCATTTAAAGAAGACGGAATTAGAGGCTGATTTGTATGTGACATTGATTTGTATGTACAGAGAAGGAAATCTCTTTTACTGTGTCTGCCTTAACAACACACATCATATATTTCGGCAGGAACGCCGAAGCAGCTGGTTTTCTTAATGTTTTTTCACAGATGCAGTCTCAGCTACAGTCAGTTTTTCAGTGTCATTCCTACCAATGTAGGCCCGTACTGTAAGATCTAAGAATATCCACTCAATGTTAGTGCTGAGGCATTTCGGCTTCAACCTCCTTCCCAGTGGTCACATCTATCTCATAGCCTCTCGCAAGTAATTTAATAAAGACACCACACACCTATACACACATGCGTGCAAACTGAAGGTCATTCTTAATGGTCTCAGAAGCCTTTCCTTTCACCATCATCACAAACTCTCTTCAGCCTTGTCTGCCTTCCCACCATTCATCCAACATACCCCCTCCCTTCCCTTTAGTCCTCATTGTCTGTCAAACAAGAGATCCTTATAAATAGGCATGTGACAGCTGACAAAAGAAGGGGCATCCACAGAGGATACTGTCTCATTTTACACAAAGCTAATGGCTAAATAAAGACTACCACTTAGGAGAGTGAGAGAAAGAGGCCTCTTTGGAGGGGCGATTAAAAACTACAGCCTGTACTCTCATTTTTCATACCCCCATATTTCTCTTCTTCCTTTTTTTGATTTCCATCCTTTCCCCCTCATTTACTCTGTTGCAGAGTATACCTCATCCCAAGACACTTGTTACTTCCTATCTGAGGCCGAAGAGAAGCAAGTCAATGCCCATCCATGCAAAAGAAATTCCCTTGATAAAACAGAAAAATTCAGTTGCTATTCTTCAATATACATGTGTATCCATGTATTCTACAGCAAGCAGATGCATAAAGGATACCAATATTCTTATTTTGTTTTATTGAATATACTGCAGCATTAAACATGTTGACCATTCAAACACTCGCAGACAAACAACAACACTTGTGTAATCATTTCACCATTTCTCAGGTATAGTCAGAAGTGGTCAGACATGTGCATGCCTTTGTGAGACTGTGCTGTTACATAATTAGGATGATTTTGAAGCTACAATAGGTCATGTTGGTTTAGAATAAAGACTGGAAACAGCTGTCACTACAATTCACTAATTAATACTCAGGTAGGAAGTAAATCTTGGCATAAATGAGCAAAATTTCACAAGAGTCTTTTTTTAGCACGCTGCAGTGTGTCATTAAATCAGTCTGAGAAGAAACTCGACTTCTGCATCTTTGCTTGTCTCTGATTTCAGTCTTTAGAATATCTAGGATGTGACAGACACTATGGCTAATATATTTTTTTAATCAAAATAGTCTTACTGGTAAGAAAAAGTAAACTATTAACAAACTTTCTACAAAATGTACAGACACAGAGATCACAATTCTCTCACAATGTACCAAATGAAAATTCTGAGTCTTCAGCAAACTTAACTATCTTAACTAACTTGACCATAGCCCTTAAAAGTAACCAGGGATACCTACTTGCTAGGAGCACATTCACAGTCCGGCTCATCAGCGCTCCAAGGCTGCTGCCAGTCACACAGCTGTAAGCCCCCGCCACACCATGGGGAGACTGGCCATCCATAGACGTTGGCATCAGGAGAACGGATCCATTGACCAAATACTGAAGGTAGTCATTCCCCTCTGGAAGTAGTGGCTGTCCATCCTTTAGCCAGGAGACATTGAAGGGTGTATCACTGGCCCCCAGATTGCAGTCCAGCAAGAGGGGCAAACCTGGTTCCAACACTACATGGCTGGGTCCAGCGCCGCAGCTCAGCTCCACGGAAACCAGCTTTTCTATGCAGAACAAAGGAAGACAAGGTTGTTAACTTTGCTCTGTACTTTTAGTAAACCTCAATGTGTTTTTATTCTAATAAATAAATGGCATTCTTGTATTTATATTGCTCTGTGAACATCATCACAGCTATGCTATGAACAACATTAACTATACTCACTGATCTGATTAGTTTTACGTTCTAAAAAGGCAAAGTCGTTTTATAGCGTAGTCCCTCACCATAACTTCAAAAGAGTTGATAGCACTGGCAGCACAGATGGAGTAGGGTAGTGCATACCAGAAGTAGGGTGTTTTGGGGACAGAGAGAAGCCCAGAGGAGGAGGGGGAGAAACTCTGCAAATGAAATGGGCACATAGGGCATGAAGGGATTTGTATGTCAGCAGCAGGACATTAAAGTCAGTGAGAGAGGGGAAGTCCTGGAGTGAGAGGTCAGAGTGAGCAGCTGAATGCTGTATAAACTGTAGTCAAAGGAATGTTAAATGATGATAAATTTTCCATGCAAAACAAATTGTCATGAAACAATGATTTAATGTGAAACACTACATACTTATCAGAGAAAAGCTTCAGATAACGGTGAAAGTAAATAAATATTCTCATAGAACATTTTTCCCCCTCCATTGTGCATCAGCATGGTTTACTTTATGGCCTTTCTTTATTGCCTCACCCCACCACCTCCAGCACCATCCACTCACCCAACACACCCCCTCATTATAGAGAAAGGAGGGGAGAGGGTAGGCACAAAAACCTGTCCTTTGAAATACTTGTATAAATAACAAGATCAAGACAAAAAAAAACAAAACAGAAAAGCTATCTAAGGAGAAAAAGAATTAAAGAGATGAAGGTCAAGAGATCTGGAGATGGAAGATTCAAGGAATATCAGCTTTTGCAAGAAATTATAGCACATAATTATCATTTATGAGGTAGACGGAGTGCATTAGAAACATACAGAGAAAACCAAAAAATGCAAGGGTCAATAATGCTGAAACACATTGCTTCCGTGAAGAAGTAGCAAGATGACATTTATGTCTTCAGTAGAGCAATACTGCACAGCATTTAGTGGAGCAAGTGAAACTTTGGATATAAGTATCCAAAATGGTCACATTTAAACATGTTTTGTTCTTTTTTTTTTAATTGCTTGTTTTTAATAATTGAAAAGAAAAGAGAACATACATATTCACAAACCAACCACAAAAAAGCCTAATAAAATTAAACAGCATTCATCATCTTACTACAGGAGCACCTGTCAGGCTGTATTGGAAGTCAATGAGTTGGAAGCAGGAAAAATGGACAAGCAGAAGGATCTGAGAGATTTCGATAAGGACTAGATTGTGATGGCTAGGTCACTAAGTTGACTGTTGCATACTAGTTTACTAGGGGAGCAGTAGTTGTTGATCATTAAAAATGTGACAGACATTTTAAGTTTAACGATTTTATTGCTGCATGTAATTACATTTTTCATGTCAAGCCATTGTCCCATCCCTACAGTCAATATCACATAACCCTATGAAGGAAGATGTATATACAGCTTAGAGACAAAGGGACCAAACGCCACAAGTGCATACAGGTCTTTGTCTGGGTGTTAGGTAAAATGTTGGCAAATTAAACATTTTTCCATTTAACAAAAATAAAGACTTAAGAGTCAGTAACTGACAAATATGACAAATTTGTGAGATGTCATATTTTGAACAATATCAATATATAAAATGAAGAATAAATAAATAAATATCGAAACATCAATTTTGAATCATGGCTATAAATAATTTAATATCCAATGGGTTGCTTGATGAAGTGTCTCCATGACATGATGGTGCTCACCCGTGCTCACTTAGTCTTTTTATCATTGGAAGAGTGTTGTCTGCATGTCTATTTTCTAAACTTTCTAGACTGTAAGCATTTTTATAGTGGTTTTTATGGTTATTTCAGTAACTTGATCGATAATCAGCAGACACTCAGTCACTTGGGAAGAGTAAAAAAAAAATTGCCTGACTGTTAAAGTACACAACATTCCCAAAAATGCATAAATAAAACAAAAGTAGCATGCGCACTCTAAACATCAACAAATGTGTGCACTGTGAACACAGTGCCTTAGGCAATGTTAATGCAAAGTTTGATCAAGACTGATCCTCTGTTCTATCTGAAGGTGGGGACCATACGAACATAAATACATATACTGTGATCATTACAGTACGATGGCTACTTTTATTTGAGTCATTCTCTTTTGAATGACAAATGGTAAATGAACTGGTTCTTATATAGCGCTTTCCTACTCTATCTCAGCACTCAAAGCATTTTGCTCAACTTGCCGCGTTCACTGATTCACACCTATTCACACAAGCATTTTTTCTAAGCTCTGTCTATGTAAGTGGTTTCAAACTAGCAAATGAATATATAAATGAATGCTATAAATAAATATTTATGTTTACATTTTTATCCAGACACATGACTTAATGTATGTCTTGATGTAATTTCATATAATTTAAACATCTTCTCTGCAGATCTTATTACCACGCTTTGTGAATTCATCTTAAAAGACTCTCTCTCCCTCACTCACACACAGTCAGGTTTCTTTCAGCTTGTCTTTCTCTGCTGTTGGATTAATTAAGTTAATGGGAGATGGAATTTTTCTTTGATTAAATGAGGCCTGACCCCCCACAGACACTTCCTGATGAAGAGGCTGGGTAATGCTGAGAAAGGTTGTTGCACAGCACTCTGATACACACACATCTGCCATTGAGACGACATTAACATGCATGCACAACCATGCACCCAAAACACATGCAGGAACCACATGCAAACAACTCGAAAAGATCAACATATTGTTGTGTGTCGTGCACTCACATGTGTGCAAGTCAGCATGCACAGTCACAGATCACCTCCGTGGCCCCTTGCTTTCCCTCTCCCATTTCAACTAATTAGGTCTCATTAAGTCATTAAAATGTTAGCAACCATTTCCCAGCTCACCGCCAATGGTTTCACTTGGTGCAAGGTGAGGATGTTTCAGATATAGATGTTCAGATATTATCCCACTGGTCCCTAAAAAATGGATTTGAGGTATGATGAGGAATATGCAAGAAAGAAAGGAAATTCATTTTAAAAATGTTTAGCTATCTTTAACATTTTAAAACATTTTGTATCATAAAATTATTTCAATAGCTGCCTAATCTCAAAAGGTAGCTATAGCAATTGCATAACAAAGAATTAGCATGACCTACTATCCTTTAAAGAAGTAGGCACAGTAAACAGTTATTCTATATTTCAAAAAAATGATATTTCATATGGGAATAAAACAACACAGTTGCACTAGAAACCTCATCATGTCCTAGATATGTGCCCATGTGTCATAAACACAGACAAACTAACATGTATTTGCCCCACAACACACTCACACATGTATGCGCTTCTGCTCAGTAACTCAGTAACTGTGTGTGTCTCATGAGGACACAATGTAGTGAGGAGGGGGGGGGGGGATCTGTGAAGTGGCCATTCTGCCATTTTACTGTACAAGTGGGAGCTGTTGGAAAGAACAGGGTGCACTCTGGGATATAGTAGCGGCTGTGCAGTCTCGCTGAGCTGTAGTGAATGGATTGTGATGGCAACAAGCCAAGATGTTCATAGCTAAATGGAGAGAGGACAACAGTTTGAGAGGGAATGAAACTGAGACAGATAAATGAGACAAACACGGTGAAAAGAAATAGTGATGCAAACTATTGGCCATAAATGATACACTGCCCTTTTGACACCACGCCTGAATTTTGTATGCCTTTTTAATTGCAACAGCAAGATACTGTAATTTGGATAATGTGACATAAAGTGTCACTACGATAAACAGAGAAATTGCTAGGCTAAAGGCTGATTTGTAATCCTGTTAAGAATCAGATGCACAAAGAAGAAAGAAGAGAAACGAGAGACACAGTGACAAAGACTATCATTCAGTGAGAGAAAAGAAATAAAAGGCAGAGGAAATGGAGATGTTAGAAGGGCAGTCCACAGTATTTATCCCATTGGCCCATTTCTGTTAATGGATCACCTATTCACAAAATGTTTGGAAGAACAGAAGGAGAAAGCATGAAAGCAACAGGGGGAGGAGAGTGACCCAACACTCCGAATACTTCACTCAGCCCAGCTCACTGTCAACAGAGACTGGACACCCAATGACCCTGAGGCCGCAGCTCAGGTTTCCACAGCTTCTAAATTCAAGCTACACAATACCCAAGGCTGTTCAGGAACTCAGAGATACCAACAAAGAGACTGGAATGAAAATGAACAAAATAATGCTGCGTGTATAATGCTGTCCATATCCAAACACCTGTTATATTACACTTGTCTTTATGGAATAGTAACAAACCCTAAGCTCTATGTACAGGTCTTTGCTTTGGTGTTAAACCAATAAACAATAACTCTCAGGAAAATTATAATTACATGATTATTAAATAAATAAATAAATATGCATTGTAACATTAATTTATTCATTCTTTTACTTGTAAGATGTGATCAGGCTTAATGTAAACAGATCTTCTGATTTCGTCCAGTCATCCATTCATTTTCTTTTGCTTATCTGGGGCTGCGTATCAGGGGCAGGAGCCTATGCAAGGATTCCCAGGCTTCTCTCTCCCCAACCGCCTCCTCCAGCTTCTACAGCGGAACACAGAGGCAATCCCAGGCCAGTGAGAGATATAATCTCTCCAGCGTGTCCTCGGTTTTCATCTGGAGGGACATCTCCAAAAACACCTCACATAGGAGGCATCTTTGCCAGATGCCCAAACTGGCTCATTTCCATGTTGGGGAGTAGTGGCCCTATGCTGAGCCCTTCTCACTTGGCTGAACTCCTCACCCTATGTCTAAAGGCCAGACAGCCTTTGGAGAAAGCCCATTTCCACCACTTGTATCTGCAAGTGGTGACATCTAGGGATGTAGATGAATGAATGAAATAAACAATAGATGAACTAGAGGCGTACCTCAAAAACAGGAATGGTTTTATATATGGAGGCCACTGACATTTTCC